GACCGCCCTTATGCTTGGTTTTGCCGCTACATTTATTTCATTTGAAATGTAGGGCAGGATAAACGAGAGCTTATCCTCGCTAGAATTATCATTTGGGAATTTGGGCTCTACTCTACACCTATCCCGATGAGCTACCGTGTCGTAACGGTTTTGAATGGCTATTCGTCGTGTCAGTTTCATGGATGCTTCTGCTCTCTTCCAATGTACACAATGGGAGCCCTTGGAAACATGTTTTTCACAAGCCTATTTTTGCGTCTGGGTGGTGAAAGTGGAGATAATTTCTTGTTAAGTTCCCTAACTAGTTTTCCTTTAGTAGTTTTAGTAAGTAGTTTTCCTTTTCAGCAAAGGGAAGCAAATTGAAGTGATTGATATATGGTTCTGAAGAAATACTGTGTCATCATTTAGAAAACTAGTCATAAAAACATTGAAAGTGGGTCTTCGAAGTTCGTTCTTTTGTGTCATTTCGCTCCAGGTGTTTTTCGAGAGTCTAACTTATGAGCAAATTCACTTTCCTGAAGAGTCTATTACGTAGTATTTTTGACTAAAGATCACTATGGTTGGTTAAATACTCTTTCATCTAGATATCACAATGTTAGGACGTAAAGAAGACCTGTCAAGAAATTTCTAGAGCTCGTCTATTTTTATCTCTGAAGAATTCCTTGTGTGAGCACTCAGCAGAAGATTTTTGGGGATTACTGATGTTTGCTTTACATGATCCTATTTCCCACAGTCTTCGTGGGTTCGGCAAAAAATATTGGTCTACACTTTGTTGGTACCGTGAAGTTTGAGTTGTTCGGTTTTTGATTCCTCGGTGATATTATCCGTACATCGACCTGCAAGCTGGTGTTATCGATGTTTTAATCCCAATTGTTTTCTTCAACAATGGACCATTCGGTAACATAGTAAATACAAATAGCCCTAATCGATAGCATTTTTCCATGCTGTTCGGCCATTATTGTTTGTATTTATATTTATAAATCAATTTTACAATGAATATTTACCGTGTGCATTGTTGATGTATGACAGTTCAAAGATTAATCTGATTTAATAGTAGTTTTGGAAGCTTGGCTATAGTTCGGGCGAAAAGGTTCGTTCGGTTAAAGTTTCGACCTCTTCATCTTTCTCAGAGCCGATTATTAGTCTATTACTGTGGTACCACTCGGATTTTGTTATTAGTGCTGTGGTTAAATGACTCATTTTAAAAAGTATTACTTTTAGACGGTTCAAATCATGCTGTCAGGACATTGTTTTGCTTCAGGAGTTCAAATTTAACCAAAAAAGAAGCAATAAGTCAACATCTCATGAAAACAAGGGGAACTATATGGATTCTGAATGCAGAATTCATAGGTGATTAGGTGATCTTTTATTTGATGTGCTCATAGGAGGTGTTGGCATTCATGACGAAATATAGGCGCTCATAAGCAAGTTGACGATGCCTGTCTATTACCGCTAGTAGGAGTTGGTATTCCAAAAACTCCTGAACACGTTATATAGATGCACATGAGATGTTCGAAAGGTGAGGAGCTCCATGAGCCACTATAGCATGAATTGAACGAATGACAGCGATATCGTTTTCACGAAGTCTGCTCTGCTGTTTACACAGTTAGAACGACTTATTTTTCGTTGTGAAATGTGTATCCTACAGGACAAGAGGCAACGTTCAGTTCAGCTATTGTCGCTAGACATTTTCAAGACCTAGTTTGCGTCACAGATTTGTTATTACGGTCTTTTGTTTTCGGTGGAACATGTACAGAAAACTTCAATCCTGGCGAATCGACCACGAAAGAATCATAATAAACATACCCCTTTAAATGGTTCAGCGTACACGAGGTGGTTACACTACTATGCGGTTAACGTTTCAACATTTCTGTTTTCCTAGCAAAGGGGTTATATTTTACCCTTTTCCAATCACTGGTTCGAAGCTGGCCTAGGGTTCAGGTTTTGCAAGTACCTCAACAGCGTTGTGGCTCTATTTCACACAAAATTGTGCCATGAAAAGACGTTACTTTACTAGATTGCTCGACACATGTATTACACATCACACTGCAGGTCACAAGCATTTCTTGCATTCGATTCGTTTCCGCGCAACTACCATCCATGAATGCCTTTGAGCTCTTTGCGTTTGAGTTCACCTGTTGCTTGAAGACATCTTCGTCTTCAATTTTAACTTATTATTTACTGCCTCCTCTTTTTAACGGCAAGGTATATATTGCGAAATACAACCTTAATAATGCTGAGATATTTGCAAAACTGGGCACCGCAGGTGTCTGCGGTGGAGAACGAACGCGCTATTGTCCTTTCCGGGGAGTAACGCATTCAGGATCATTAAAGTTATATTTCGTAATATATACCCTGCTGTTAAAAAGAGTCGGTAGTAAATAATAAGCTAAAATTGTGATTATAACTGCGGCCTCAGCTTAACTGGGTTCGTTGCCGATTTGGGTTCCACAGATCAATCCCACTAACGGTTGGTTGCTGATGGCAAAAAATGGATAGGAGTAGTTGAGAGACATGCGAAACGAAGGACTCGCATGGTGTGGTGGTGAGCGGGTTACTCTCCGGAAAGGTTAATAGCGCGTTCGTTCCCCACCGCAGACACCTGCAGTCCGGAGTTTCGCAAATATCTCAGCATTTTGTAATAGTTCCCAGGATCGACTTTCTATTAACCTCGGCATTGGAATATGAATGTGTCGTTTTCCTGTTCAGCAATCGCGAGGTTTTTAAACAGCATAAACAGGTTTTAAACAAACGACTCTCGCCAACCACATGCGACTATAATCAGCTGCTCTAAACTTCCTCATTGGAAGTCACGAAAAAGCGGCTCTGAAGAAGGCGATACTGCCGAAACGTCAGCTAGCGTTGTATTGTATTGTGTTTTTCTATGGAAGTAAATGTATGCTGTTTAAAAACCTCGCGATTGCTGAACAAGAAAACGACACATTCATATCTCAGCATCATTAAAGTTATATTTTCGTTTTCATCCACTAAAATCGTTCTATGCCTGTCCTAGGTATTCTGATGTGCGTTTCAAGTAGTGAGCTTGTCCTGCAGAAATATGGTGCCAATTTCTCGACCGAGGCAAGATGACACGCTTGTTGTGCGCAAGGGTGGTCTAATTCCAGGGCTTCAGTTGGTTCCGCCGTCTGTATAATGAAGATCACTACCATTGTGCTATAAGGCTTCCAACAGAGAATTATCGTTAAGAAATTAATGATATCCTGCAAAAACCGTGTCGTATTTGTCCAACGATGCCTAGCAGAAAAGATTCAATCCTCTCGTACGTCGATAAAGATTAATTACGGAAGTCTACCCCACCCGCTATACTCACCAGATCTCCTGACTTCCAACTATCCCTTTTTTGTAAATATCTCGATCGTTACTAAGTATTCAAAAACCAAAGTGCAACTGAAAACGCTTTCCAAGAATCTGTCATCACTACTCTAGATTTCGGAACCGTTTGGGTTCTTAACATTATTTAGAAATCCTGGACTAAATTTGCCTGAGGGTTCTGCAAGATCTACTTTTCCTATCTACTCTCACATGAATTTAAAGCCTTGAGCATTTGAACATCGTTTTTTTCTTTTCAAAACACAATTCAACATCCAATTTCGTCCGAATCTTATTATACTGGTCACCTTGTTTATAGACGAATGTGGGTTTCATTTAGTTTTACACATTTCACGCATGTGGATCCGCAATTGTTCCTTGGTGTTCCTACTACTTACCTAATACTTGAATGGCCCGTCCTCACTAGTTGTGCGGGCTCCAGCATAATCTTCATTACTCGGAGACTTGCTGGTTAAACCATTGTGGTTCTCTGGAATTCCGACGTCAGCTTGGTCAAATTCTGTCCTAAGTCTTCACCACCACAAGCAGACGCTGCTCTTGAGGATCAGAGGGAGATTTACCACCGTGCTTTGATACCAGAACATTAGTGGATCCTGGTCTTGGTTTACTCTTAGCTAAGCTTCCTAATGAAAACACCGGACTCCTTCTCAGCTTGGGAGACCCTGCCGAGGGGATGAATCTTCCCGCTGTAAATCGCAGTTCGACACCCAGGAACATCTCCCAGCCACGATGAGGCGGTAGAGCATTGGGAGAGGTCCTGCTACTATAGCAGATTTATCTAGAAAGTATGGAACACCGAATTATGAGTGTTCTAATATGTTCGTGTAACGGAGTGGTTAAAGGTGCCCTGCAATGCACACACGGTCATTGCTTAGATACCGTGCTCCGGCCTCCATTCTTCCGAGGTTGACAAGCTGGTACCAGGATTATCTGGAAGGATAGCACCACTGACTGCTTACTTCATTAAGCTGCCGCAATTCATTACATTCGCCATATATGTATTCAATAACGATGTTTAATGATGTCGAATGGACGGCGTTTCCCTCAAAGATTGATTAACGCCGAGGCCTTTGTCCTTTTATCCTTATGCTAATGTGCGGGCTGAATTCACATACACTGGATGAATTTGATGTGGTTTTTGCAGTTTGTCTAGTAATACTCCTCAATCCTTTTGTTGCATATCGCAGGATCGTAGGTTCGAAGGAAAAATATTGTTAAGATATGTCGGCAGATTTTGTATCCTCGAAATAGCAAAGGACTTAATGGCTTTTGTTCTCGTAAGTCTGTTTCCGGTGGACATGCATGACTTGCTAAATAGGGTGTCTCCGCGGCTTTCTTCGTCAACTACTCACGATATTAGTTAAAAGAGATCTTCGAAAGGATCCCTTAATATCTTCCACAAAAGAATTCGTCAAGAAACGAATAACATCGATCAATGCGCGATACAATTTATTAACAACGAGTTTAATGAGAGAACGATTTGATTTATTTGAAGTTTCAAGGAAATCTACAGCATGTCTACAATGCACTGCATCAACAGGATCACATGACAAAGAAGCTGACTATATATGGAGAACATGACCATAGATTTACTAGCGTTTTCATTAATCACTCTCAAATTGATTCGTTTTTAATCAAGAAGAAAAGCCATGTCATTTACTCTCTTCTGTTTTTGCATCTGAGTTCGGATTGTTCGTAGACGAACCGCTCACGATTTTAATTGGAATTGCACGTGCTGGTGAGCCATCCTAAAAAGAAACATACATTTAATCGAATAGAAAGACAATTGCACTAAAGCGGATGAGCTGAGCCAAGTTGAGACGTTTTTCCAGAAGAAGAAAATTATAAGTTCTATCACTACCATGTTACGCACCTTTGGCTTTAGTGGAAACGCTTGAATAGTGAGCGTTCCATCACTGGTTAAATTGCTTGAGACGCCTTCCGGTTGAACATTTCGTGGTAAGTTGAACTTTCTAAAATAATTGTAAAAATATGTCGTTTCAAATAACATCAATGATTAGTTATTATGTTAGTTTTTATTGGCATTAATTAAGTATTTATGTCGTCCCGCTGCAGACCTTAGCCAGCCTGACCTCGGGATTCCAGGGAACACATGGCTCAACAGGCAAGTCTCTAAAAAGAAAAAATGGAGATTGTACTGGCGCCTGCATAACTAATGAAGATGGTTCGTCCAATTATCCAAGCATGCAAGTAAATATTTATGTTATCGTAGGAAATAAAAAGAAAAAATCGAGGGATTCTTGGTTTTCATTCTGCCTAGATGAACGAGCTGTCTCCTATATATAATGCATCGATAAATGGTTTCGGAAAAGAAGGAACATCTTTGCATTTTCTGCAAAAGAACAGGAAAATCTATAGCTGGTGATTAAAACGTCCAGCTCTAAAACGTTGTCCAGTTCTCTTTTAGACCCTGAGTTCTTAGAGGTGTGGACTTTCTTCCCCTGAAAAAATGAAAGCCGCTTTGATAAGCTATCTATGAAGCTGGGTCTTTTCGCAGTGGTTGTTCTCATCTCAAATAGTGCCTGTTGGACGGTTACTAGAATACCTATCAAACCATACAGCGAATTCGAAAATATTTTCTTATACCTGATAAAGTGCCTTTCTATGAAACCGAACTCATCAGCTTTTTCGGGATGTTTCCCTTCAACCACAATGAACTGGCCAATGACAGAGACCTGTAATTGACAGATACCCACTCTGTTCGAGGAATTTTTAGCACATTTCAAATGTAGTATAACAGGTTCCGGTATCCTGGCAACCCACCACAGCGATCATCATTTTCGGTCGTTGACATTAGTTTACACCTCAAAATCTGATCACGTTTCCATTTTTTCATCTTTTATTTTTATTTTTTAACCCGTTTAGGCTGTATTTCGACATTGTCGTGATTAGGGAATATGGAAGTCAAGTACTTAGCGACAGTGTCATCAATTTTGCCATAATCCCAAGGGAGCAACAGTAACATTGAAGTAGAATGTTCCGCTCCGATATTAAACCGAACCTTGGAGCAGCTATTTTAAGACTTCATGCTCTCAAACGCATAGCGTAGTGCATAAGAAATTCCTTGGAATGGCTATGTTAAGCCCGAATCTAGTTTAATTCGAATGCATGGCACTTAACTTCAAATCGTCAGCTGCGAATTGGGAGACATCCATTGTCGCAGTGAGTGACTCGTCGGTAGCATGGATTGATGAGATGTTGGCCCCAAATGTTGACGGGAACGAAGGAAATGAAGACTGAAATCATCAATGATAAAGAAAGCTCCTTGATCAACTCCCACACAACTCTCAGGCAATGTCAGGATGATGCGAAAACATTCTTTCTCCACCCGACGAATAACCTCGAACAGCTGCTCATAGCTAGCTGAGTCATACTAAGATTTATCTCGTCACATGGAAGTTCTCATTATAAGGTCACGTTATCTATAAAATACTTCTAGTGTAATGGATTCCACACTTTTAAACTCTATAACAACATCCGTGAAGTAGTAATTTCTTTACGAAGTCATACCAACTCGTACTATTTTGATCGAATAACGTGAATTTAGTGAAAAAGGCGAAGCTTCTCCCTATTGGAAATTCTACTTTTTTTTCTGGAACTAACAACTGGAGCAGGGAAATTAAGTTTTAAATTTAGGTTGACAATATTAGCAGGAGAAATGGAATTCAGTTGGAAAGCTATTTCATCATATCTCCTTCATCTATATCTTACTTGGATACTTGGATACTTGGACGGTCCGTCTTCACGAGCTGTGCGGTCCCCAGCACATATGCCGTTCGTTCCTTTCTCTCGCAATCGTAGTTCATGGTGGTGCTCTTGTTCAGGCATGATAGCGCTTGCGAGTCTCATACCGTGATCTGTCAAGGGGACGTTTGCATTCTCTTGGAGTCCACTCTACTGTTCTTTTCGTCCATCTGTCGTCCGCTCTTCTCATTATGTGACCGGCCCATCTATGTTTCGCAGTCGATGTATATTCTCCTGGATCTCGAAGATGCGACAGATTTCGAAGGTCAGAGCTTCGCATTCCGGCTACATATTGAGAGTGCCGGTTATGTTTCAGAAGACATCGCTCAAGCGCCGTGTGAGTAGTTTGAAGCATTCTTGAAGTATTTGAAGTATCAACCCACGTCTCTGCCGCATAACAGAGCGCTGGGATGACCGTAGAATCAAAGAGATGAGCGCGGTTTTCGGGGTCCTTCAGTTGGTCAGTGGCTTCTTTGCGAGACCCGAATGTGGTTCAAGCTGCTCTCCTTCTTCTATCTAGTTCCTTTTTCATGTTGTTTTCCATGTTCGCTGATCGCCCAAGGTAAACGCACGAGGTAGTCTTTGCAATGAGAGAGCCATCCAATTAAATTTTTTGGCCCTCGTACCATAGGATTTTCATAAACCGGGTCTTCTTTCGATTTATGCGAAGTCCGATCTTTCTCCCTGCTTCGTTGAGTTCGTTGATCATCATCTCTGCTTCGCTAGTACTTCTTCAGAAGATGACAATGTCGTCGGCAAAACGAAGGTTTGATAAGAATCTTCCATCAATACGTATGCCTTTCTCATCCCAATCGAGAGACTTTATTATCCACTGCAGTGTAGCACTGAACAGCTTTGGCGATATTGTGTCGCCCTGTCGAACCCCTTTTCTTATGGGTATTATAACAGATCGATGGAAAAGCTCTATATTCGTAGTGCAGTTCCGATAACAATCGGACAGAGTCCTTATGTAGGATGAGTCCACTCCTTGGTCGACGAGCGCTCATAGGATTGCATTCGTTTCGATACTGCCAAACGCTTTCTCATAGTCGACAGAGGTTAGGACTAGAGGCAAGTGGTATTCCCGACAAACTCCGATGACTCTGGGCACGGTTTGGATGTAGTCCATGCAGCAAAATCCTTTTCGAAATCCTGCTTGCTCGACTGGTTGCGCCTCATCCAATGTTCTTGATATGCGCGAGAGGGTAATCTTCGTGAAGAGCTTGTAGAGTACACTTAACTAGCATATAGGACGATAGTTACGAAGATCCCTTCGGTCTCCTTTCTTGGGCAGAATGACTGTGCGTGACTTCCTCCACTGTTCTGGGATCTTTTGAAGGTAGCCTGTCATATGATCTGCGAGAAGTACATGTAAATTGTGGCCACCAGCTCTGAGGAAATCGGCAGTGATATTATCGGGTCCTAGAGTTGTACCTCTTTTCATGCCTTCTATCGCAACTCGAACCTCCGACTGAAGAATTCCAGGTGGTTTTTCTCCAGCGGGGATATTAGTGCCCGGGACGGAGATTGTGGAACGGAAAAGGTTGGTGTAAAACGTTTCCGCTATTTGTTCCATATAATGGCGGAAAGTTTTGACGATCCCATCTTCGTGCATCAAGGCTGACATCGGATCATTATAATCACGCAAGTCCCAACGGCATTTTTTCAGACTGCTTTTTATCTCTGCTACTTTCAGTATTTTCTTCTGCTTGTACCGTTGTAGATCTTCCTGCAAAGCTCTTCTGCAGCTGGCATTTATTACTAGCCATGTTAAACGTGAAACCTTTAAAGAATGGTTCTGATCCATTCATGGACTAAACTCTGCTCTTGAAGGCAGTTCTCACTAAAATTTCACGAGAAAAATATGCTAGAAGTCCTTCTGGAGTTGAAATCTATCATACTGAGCATTAGGTCAACATCAAACTGTACTGATTGGTTTTCTACTTGCTTACATTTATGATTTCTTCCAACTAAGTGCGTGTAAAAACGTCAATAGACTTTGACAAGGCATTAATTGTTCGGAAGAATTGAACTTAGGAACGAAAGTACTCGAATTATGCGGAATACAATGGAACGACCGCTGCAGATGCACATGAAGATCTTAACCAAAATGCGGTAGCAGAAGGAATAGGATGGAGGTCTTAGTGGCTTTTACATTAAAACGAGTAAAAAAAGACTGGCTGAAAGTGAGACAAATTAGGGGCGTCCGTTTGTGCTGTGGCAAGTGAGTCCTCGGTAGTAATAATCAGAGGATCGGAATTTTTTCTTTCGATGCAAAACCACCACAGATGTTGCACCCGGCGCTCTACGGGAATAGCTAGATTGTCTGCATATTACACTTTAGAAAAAAGCATTGTTCGGACGCCCAAGTTTGTCTCCAAGAATCCAGTAGTGATTAATTGCTTATGTTGCAAAGCAGAACAACGCAATGGTGCAGATAAGACGGTTGGTTAGACGCTCCGCTTTGGGGACACTTCAGACGTACGCGTTGAGTTCAGTGCATTTCACGCAGTAGGTATTGTTGTGTGTGCAAGGTAGATATTAGAGCGTTGGTCACTACTGCTCTGTCAGCATTGAACCGAAGAGAAATTTAACAGAATAAAATAGAACCATATTGAAAAGCTGTACGTAAAGTAATGTTTTCAAAGAAGCTCTAAGTGTTTGTGAATTTTTTAATCAGAAGAACTTTGTAAAAAACTTCTAAGCTGAAAGTTTTCTACATTAACGGTAGAAAATCTATCGATAACCACTTAATAATTGAAGATGGTGAATCGACGAAAGACTTATTACTCTAGAAAACTGTGAACTCACTGGGAGAATATGGGTGGTAAAGGGTGAGGGTTGTGTGGTGACTCGGATGCGAGGCGTCTCCTCTATCACTTTCTTCTCGTACGTCCTGTTGTAAGAGGAACTGTGATTATAGGTGGTCATCTTGACTTATCGAAAGTTCTGAAAGGAAGAAAGTCGACTTTCAACATAAAAATTAGCCTACTGTTGACGTCATTGCTGAAATCAATGGCCCATCGACATAACGTTTTCAAAGTAATCGAAGCATTAACAATAACATGACGAGCTTGAAAATATTGCCGACTAAATGATTGAAAATATTTTAGAAGTAATAATTAGGAGGTGAGAGAGGAGTAGACATATTTCCATTGTTACATTTAAAATAACCGACAACAGACTGTAGTTGTTGACGAGCACGTCATAATTTTGACCCAGCGCGAATGTTTTGTCACCCAGAGGGCTACAGCTGGTTGGAATGACTGCAAACGCATTACACCACGACAATTCGTAGATGAATAAAGCGAAAAAAAAGCGGACATAACCGGAGGAGGGCGCCGAAATGCTAATCCGGTAACGTCGTCGCTCAGACGGCAAGCTCCGGTCAAGGGATTTTCACGCGCAGTCTGGCTCGCCCTTTTCTCAAATTCCGATTTTGGATTTCTCTTCCACAGAACGAGTTATTTTAGCGCTTATTGTTGAAACTTGACCGCAGGAACTCATGGTGACAACGTTCGAAGGATCTAGAAAATCATCGACCATCCAAAAAAGTTTTCTTCGCAACCGTTTTCCGAATAACTAAAAGTGGTACGTCGAATCCGAATTTGATCGAATGTAAATGAACCTATGTCGAATGACTCACCAGTATCCCTTAAATTTTCTTTTTTCAAGCCTTAGAAATGAGACATTTCATTGTAAGAGGAAAGTTTGAAAAAGTGTTAAAATGTAGGAAAGAACGCTGTTATTCACATTCATCAAGGAAAGTAAACAGAGGATTCTAAGAAAAGAGGAGACGGCAACAGAGTATTATAATCCACTAGAGGAATGGATTTTATAGGAATTCTACGGGTAAAAATGGAAGAAATGGGGATGAGAAGAGAATGTAATAGAGTGCAATGCACTAAGCACTTGAGAGCAAGAAAAACTCATCATTTGTTCTTTTGATTAATAAAAGTAAACCACTAAAGAGCGAATAAAAGTAGTACTCGTAATGAGTAACGCTTGCTGATCCTTCGTGGTGACAAAGCTAAGCGCTCCCCTTGAGACCTCGAAGCTCCCTTCGTTAGCTGTGTGTTTACGGCTTGTCGTCTTCGTCTGAAGAGTTTCGTAGATGAAGCCTATCTGCTTCCTAACCACGGGGTTGAATTCTGGTCTTAGTTGGCCATTATAATTTACCAGATGATATACTGTCTATAGGGGCTATCACACAGTTCATTTAGCGCCAGTGCTCCATAATTTTTATTGTAAACGGACCTGCAGTTGTTGGAAACGGCATTCGGCTATTTCCATTTTAAATGCGAATTCCCCATTGTGTTGATTAAATCAATAGAACTATAAAAAAAGAAGACCCAGTTTATAGATTTTTGTTCCTTTTTTGAATAGATCTGTAAAAATTGTTAGCGGTGGTGGATTGAATTATAACGTAAATAGCCGACTGAAACGTGTTTCAGAGCTACATTCGCCTTTCAGTAGTGTGTGTACTATAACAAATTCAGTGAAAACGATATTTATGTGGATATACATAGATAACAAAATTAATGTAACGCTAACTGGGGCGGACTTTGGCCAGGCTTGACCTCGGGTTTCCAGGAAACCATAATGGCTTAACCAGAAAATCTCTGAAAAATGGGGATTATACTGGAGCCCGCACAAGCAGTGAGGACGGGCCATTCAAGTACCAGGTATCAAATAAGTTATGTAACACTAAAAGTGCTTGAGGAGCAGCTAACCCGTTTTTAGGGAACATTACGACAGCATGATGTCTCTTTCTGGAAACTAAAGTTCTCATGAAATCTGGCCAAGAAGCACTAGAAATTCTTCATAGAGTGTTGCTTAACGTCAAGTCATTTACTGCGCTGCATTCCCTTTGTTCTTGAATGCGAGTTTCGAGTTCTTAGACTTTAAACTTCGCTCTTACCGTAATCCATTGTGAAAATGATTTTGAGGACTTATTTTTTAAGAAAATGAAGATTCCAAAAAAAAGAACGACTTCGAGGACTTTCGATAAGAAATACAAATTTCTACTACCAAAAAACGGAGTAGGTGGAAGTTCATTTGAAGTTTCTGAACTTTCTCTCTCCACTGCAAAGACAGAGATTCTGCTGAGTGTATGGACAAACTAATTAGCTAAAAGCTGAGTACAAGTGGGAATATTTGCCAAAAAAGGCCCATAGGCACATATATTCGGCTTCGTCTACCGTGAAAGAGGGCAGCGATGTGAAAGAAAGTATTGCTGACAAAAAAATTCACTTTACAACGACGTGACTACTTATAGCGAAGGGTTGGCAATGCTCTAGATGAGAAGTGAGCATTGGATGTGACAAATATACAGTTGGATAAAAGTGTGATTAGGACTTATATCAGCTATATTACTGGGCACATGAATGAAATTAATAAATGAGTAAGTGGGATATATCTATCAACGGAAGAGATACAGATCAGTGATATAGAAAGCAATGCTTACTAGACCCAAATTTTTCAGATGCTACAAGTAACTGCTAATACAGTTGAATAAAAATGAGGATGCGAACATTCCATTTAGAACAACACTCGACGACCTCACCGTGCTGCCGAACATATACCTTGAAGCTGATTCTGGAGATAAGGAGAGTGGTTAGCTGAAATTTTAGTGTCCTCAAAGCAATACGGGAAATACGGTGCATTGGCGAACAGAGTTCTGGAATGTTCTCAAAGTGACAAGAGTTGTCAACGGAGGCGATGTGCATGGGGTTGAGCGTCGACTGAACGGGGGCGTCGAACAATTGCCACCTGACGGCATGTAATGCGATTTGAATACATCATACCGGACGAAACTAGCAAAGTGCATCAGCTCTTCGGCGGGAGCAATGCAAGTGAATGGTCTCAAAAGTTATCCTTTTCCGAAGCTATATTCGTTACACTAATGGTAAGTTACATACTGGGCACTTAAGTTAGTCAAAATTTTCGAAACGCAGAACTTTCAAGGTGAGGTAAGTCAGGTCTTTCACGTTTGCAAACGGGACTGCTAAGGAACTAAAATAAAACAAAGAAATAGACAAATATCCTGAGTCTGCTAGGTCATAATGTTGTGAATCTTCCACACATATGGAATCATAATGGTGCAAATGTGCGAGTTTCTCGTTGCGTGTCATGTTTGAATTGTTTGTCCTACACAACAAGTCGAGCACAAGTCGTTAATCAAGTGGAGGAGGCGGTTCTGCGCCAATTTCAACAAAGCACTTCCACATTTACGCCGAGAAAAGTCCAGCAAGCTAACAATAGCTAGCCACTTCTTAGAAACTTTAAAAAGGGCGTTATAACCAAAAAGTGTGATGATCTTCGTATTCGTCGGTGAACGAAGACTACTGGACAACTGGGGCGCGGTTGCACTAGGAAAAAGCAAGGTTTACTTATGCTTGCTCAAATTACTTGATTACTAACAGGACTACATGTGAATAGCACGATTATTATTACTTTAATTCTTAGTTTCACTCAATGAAAGAAGTCTGAAGGAGCAAAATATGCGAATTCTACGCAAAGTATTCAGCGAGGAGGATGGAATCGATTGGGAAAGTAAGATATTTTAATCCTAAACAGTATACGGTGACTTAGGAAGAGTGCGGACTACTAGAAGCAGAGTGCCGCCTGATTTGAAAGAAGCGTCAGCGGTTCGTTCAAACGGAGGCCTTTGGAAGAGGGACGTCCGCTCGAGTGCTTGCCGTCCGCCCCTAAATAGCTGCTGCAACACTCTTCGTGGTAACAAACTTTGCTAGTGTCGTTGGCGTTGAATGCCGGAAACAGAAAAGAATGCGAGCGATTTACGTTCTATTTAAAATCTGTTGTTTACCAGTAAGCTTGATTAATAGAATTTCACAGCACCACATGACGCTAAAAGTGAGAAACGAGCAGCCTCTATCCGATGTGTGTACACCTGTGAGAAAGTCATTGAATAACCATGACGTTACTGTAGCGACATAGAAATGGCAGAGGAACGTTTCCGATGAAAGAATGGATAAATCGCATAGGAATACTAGTAAAGTCTAGGAGACTGCTCATAAAGCAAAGTTGGCGGACGTTACTGTCTATGGCACAAGTACGGTAAATAACCGAGCTTCGCCAGTTTGGGTTTTCAGAAACGAATCAATAAAATGAGTAATAACGAAACGCCAAGGAAAATCCAAAGTTCAAACTTTTCGATTTATTTGTTTACGGCTTTTTCTGCTCGTAAGTTAGTTAAGATTTGCACTTTTTCTGTCAGCTGCGAAATGCCGTCTAGGGAAAATAGAACCCTATCTAGTTTCTACTCGTTGGAGCGGTTAGGTTAGACATGTGCTAGCACCATGTGTGCTTTGAAGTTCACCTAGTTGCTAGTCTGTTTATTTACATGATTTGTAGCTACACTCTAGGTAGTTCAATAGAAATAATTACAAGTTTAAGCAATATTCGTCAGACTCATGCATTTCACAAATAGTTTCCAAGACTGTAGCCACATTTTTCTTTGCTAACCACTCGGACTCTGTAAAGTGGTTTCAGCTCCATAAAACGTGGAGCTTCCAAACATGCCAATAGAAGTCGAGTGTTTACAGCTTAGCAGCACTCCATGTAGCAAACTTTGCCAGTAATGATGCTTATAACTATGGAACATATATGAAGATACTTGGTGGATTTGTCATCTCCTCAGACTCCTTCAGACGGCCAATAACGTCTTCAAAATGGGCACCAATGCTCTCCATTCTCGGTCACGGCTGCACAGCAAAGTCACTGTGCCGTCACATTGTAGTCAATAATAATCAATACTAATCAATCAGCAAAAATATCACACTTCATGGTGAAAATAAATGTGACTTCATCAAGGTGTACAGCTAAACCCGATGAAATGCAAGAACACTAGGAAATCTTATGCCGTTACAGTTTGATAAGGAGGTTTCAGAGCTGAACAAGGCACTTTT